TGAACTTGTCCGTTCTTATTAATCACAGCTTTAAAGTAAGCAGTCGAGATACTCTTAGGAAGCTGATATTCCCAGCTGACCTATCTGCAGAAATAGTGATGCTTGATACTCTCCTGCTGCAGAAAGTCTCTGCAGAAACACATGTTTGTGAAGCTGTGTGTACACGTGTGTGCATGGGTGTGTTTCTGGGACCTAAAAAAGCTAGAGGTTTTTGTGTAGCAACCAGAAACTTTACCATATTCTATCTTCTGACAACATGGAGAATCAAAAGCAAAAGCTGCCCATGATCTGTTTATACTCTCCATGGGAAGAAACTCTTATCTAATAGATGAAGACTCCAATTTAAAAGCTTGGTATGAAGGTAGTTGGAAGTTAGGCCTCTAACTGTCGAGGATTCTAAGACGTTGGGTTATGTGCAGACACAAATTGTGAAGTGTGACTACCTGACCTTCTGGCACAGTGTTAGGACTCTTCATCTAAGGTTCACAGAAAAAAAAAATCCTAATGGGTCAGGCCCATTAGCATCTTTATAAATGTCAGCATTTTAGTTTACTTGGTGTGGCTGATATTTGCTTACTTTCTGGTTCCGAAGTTTTGATATGCATGCTATTGTTTCCTTTAGCTATGTAGATATAAATGTGTAAGCCTGAGAATTTACAATTCAGAGGCTAAATAAACTAAACAATCAATAATTTCTAGTGATCCTATTGGGAGACAGCATCAGCATATTTACTGAATTCAGTAACTTTCTTCAAGAGCAAGAATATGCCAGGTAGGGGCTGGAGAGATGGCTCATAGATTAAGAGCACTGGCTGCTCTTCCGGAGGTCCTGAGTTCAATTCCCAGCAACCACGGGGTGGCTCAAAACCATCCATAATGAGGTCTGGGTGCCTTCTTCTGGTGTGTAAGCATAAATGCAGAACACTGTATACATCATAAATAAAATTTAAGAAAAAGAATATGCCAGGTAGTGGTGGTGCACAACTTTAATCCCAGTACTCTGGAGGCAGAGGCAGTCAGAGCTCTGAATTTGAAGCCATCATGGTTTATAGAGTGAATTCTAGGACAGCTAGGGCTACACAGAGAAACTCTGTCTTGAAAAAAAAAATCAAAAACCCAAAAAGAAAAAATAAACAAACAAGAATACTAGCAAGCTTCTTGCATTAACAATATTGAGATGTTAAATAAATACACTGTGGTTCTGTGAAACTTAACCAACATCTTTCTATTGCATTCCAAAGAAAGAATGGGAAAACGTTAGTTAGGACTTAAGGTCACTTATAACAATCTTAGTGCTAGAGACTGCAAGGTCCACATAACCTTGGTATTAACTTGGTGATATGAGTAATGAAAGAGAATAAAGTTAAATGTATTGGGGGGCTTGTAACTATTTATTGATTAAATTTGCATTTGTGCTCACTTGCTGGAAACTACTTCAAATTTAAGCACTCAAACACTGTTCTTTTTTATGTATACTTAATAGTTTCATTGAAAAATTTATAGCTGCATTTTACTTTACATTCCATTTTAGATGCAGATAGCTGGACTGAATAAATTTAAAGTGTAATTGAATGACCAAAGGATAAAAACACCCTTTGCTGGCTCCAAATAGTTCAATCTGTCATTACAGTAGGAAAAAAAAATGAATTCACACTCACACACAGGAAAAGAAAAAAAAAAAAACAGGTTAATGGAATAGAGATCTATCTTCCTACTTTACCCTCTCTTCTAGACCATTGCCAGAAGACATTTCCAGTGCAATTCCCCAGAAGTGGCACATTTAATAGGCTAATGGGCGTTACCATTCTTGTGACCCAGCTGATTCTATTCAATCTATGCCTAGAGAAATAGTGTTGTTGTTAATACACAATTTCCTGCCACTAAAGGGAAAAGGTCAGGCAACTCACTAAATGAGGGGGAGCAAGCTAGGTTGATTTCTGAGACTATTTCCAAGAACTGTATCTTGCCTTTGAGATTCACAATGAGACAAAATTACTCTTCTGTAATTTTAATAATAAACTGACCATACATTCTGAAATTGTGCCAGACGAACTCATCAATCAGATCAACACACTTTGGCCAATATATTAGTTGTGCTTATAAAAGTATGTTATAGTAACATCACAATGTTTGTAAATCTAACTGGCCTATGTTAATAACTAGAAATAAAACAGAAAAAAAATGGCAAAACAGCAGGGTACTTGAAGAAAAGCCAAAAACATTCAGATTGCCCACAATAACATTCTCTCAACTCTTCCACACATACATAGAAACCTCTAAACACTGAGAAATCTAGACATTCATTCGTGTTCTTTTATGAAGCTAGTTAAAAATTAATGAACAAAAAATTAAAGAGAAAACACTGCAATAAAGCTGGAATATTCTAACTGAAAAAATTCCTGCAAAACTATTTACAGTCCCACAGAATCATAAACATTTTTCAAGAAATACTTCAAAACATAATTTTTTAAGCAATGTTTTCTTCTTACTGTTGAGACCTAAACAATGAATGTTTATTTCACATTAAAAATACACTTACTAGAGCAGATCTCTCCTTCTCAGAAAAGAGCTTTTCAATTTAAAGTAGCATGTCAAGGCTTAGACATTTTCTTCAGACAAATCTGTGTGCCTCATCTTTCAACTAACAGGGTTAGTTTTCAACAATATGGAATTGACAGAAAACTGTGTGGAAATAATAATATTATTTAACTCTGGGAGAATAACCAACTGGACTTCAGAACTGGACACAGACCCACAGTCTGAAACTGCGCTCCATGCTCCTCATCACACACACCTCAAAAGGCATTCAGATTTCACAGAAGCAGTGAGAACAAGCTTGAGTCTTAACCCAGAGAGATGCCTTTTAAAATTAAAAGTATCTTCCCAGTTTCAAATATTTAAATGAACAAAACGTCTAACTCTGAGATAACTTTAGGGCCTCCTTTGAAAAAAAGCTCCCCTCTGTAGCTTCGGGCTTCAGTCTGACAAACCTGCTGAACTGTGCAGATGTTGGTTACACAGGGGAAGGAGGAAGAGGGAGACATTCCACAGCGGCTTGCAGCAGCTCCTTCCCCAGGGGCAGGGCTGCAGGCTCTATAAAGCTCAATCACTTTGTACAGCAATTGGGGAATCCCGGGCAGAGGCAAAGAAACCCCAGAGCAGCTTAAGTTTCTTGCAGCACTACAGCAACAAGTTAACACTACTTAAAGAATAACCAGCTATTTCCAACGTTACATGGCCTTGAGCCAAAAAAACATATGTATGTCGGGGAGGAGAGACAATGAGGAGGAACACCTGTAGTGAGAGAAACATAAGATGTCCATACTCCTAAGTTCCAAGCTACTTAACAGGAGGCCTTCCTTGAATCTTTGCTGTAGAAACAACTGAGCATGTGATCTTTGTTCTCGGTTAAGATTCTTCTTTGGGTGGTGGGGAGAGAATAGCGTAGTTGAAGAAACACAGAACCTAACAGTTAGCTCAGCAACTGTAACGCAATACATTGACTGTAAAGTCTTAAAGGTCTGAATGTGTATGACAGAAAAGCCATGTTGAAAGGTTCCACACGTCGGTTTTACATCAGTCTACACACTCAGTCCTGTCACAACTCCTTTTTAAAGCGATACAGGGCCTGAAACCAAGCAGCAAAAGATGTTGTCTACATCTTTGTAAGTGATGATGCAGTCACTACTTCCTAAGGACAAACTAGGAAGTGAGGCTATAGATACACAATTCTACTAATAACAGAGACTCCTAGGTCACTGTTCCCAGCAAATACACTTTTGTGCTCAGCATCCTCCTGCAGGGTGGTACGATACAATTCATAGGAGCATGTGTACTTTTTGCAGGAGCTATGATGATCACTATTACTTGGTCAGAATAACACAAAAGCATTTACAAGAATTTGCCAGGTATGACAATGAAAAAATAATGATGTTATATTTATTGTGGGCTTGGTTGAGGAAAGCGTTGTGATGAATGATAATTTGTTATAATATCATGTGTAATACCATCATAATATAATTGAATTAATAATTAATAAAGTCTGAATTTAAAATTTTTTACTCTAAATATATGCTCTGGTTCTTAAGTTTTACTGAATTTGAATATTAATTTGAAACATGTTAAGTTTTTTAAAAATTAATTTTAGGAATTAGCCCCTGTATCTACTATACTGTTTATAATCTCCTTTTCTTCTCTACTGATTTTTTTAATAGGCAGGAAAAGGGCAATACCAACCTGGAGTGTTAGTCACACAATTCTCAGGGTTGTTACAGTCCAAGAATTCTAAATTTCAGATTACTATTTTCCAGGTTCAGAAAACATACAGTCAAGGATCCAACAGGTAATTAATTCTACTGTATAGCAACTACTGAAGTGAATCAACATACCACCAGGCCTGAGCTTTTAAAGTAAGAAAGCCTTTTGATTTCCTGTTTGATAAAATACCAATTAGAAAAAACACTCCTCAAGCCTCAAAGACCTTTGTTTACAGTTCAGCAACACTCCTCCAAGACAGTGCAATGTCCAGCAAGGAGGACTAGAGAGCAGAAGCTAGTGACATATGGGGTGTGCATGGAGCTTCTGGTAATTGGAAGTTCCAAGACATTAAAATAAAAAAAAAAGATGTGTGAGTTGGTGGAAAAAAATTGTAAGGCAAGTCAATTTTTTAATTAAAAAATTATGTAGCATGAACAATGCTAATGAACCAAAAGTCCCAAGAGATGAGGATTGTATCTGTTTCATTTTAAAGTCCCTTTCACTTTTCATAAGTGTACACCCTGCACTTGAAATGCAGCAAGCAGAAACCTTTTCATAAAACAGAGTTTTGGAGGTTTTCTTTGTCTTTGTTCTTAATAGCTCACCATTTTCTACTCCAGTTGTCAATTTGATGACAAATTACACACACACACACACACACACACACACACACAGAGGCATAGACATAAATATGGATCAGAAGAGACATGATCACTTCTAGTGCATCACTACAATATAGATACCTGGAAGCTCCTCATAAATTTCATCATCGATTGGCTGGTTCCTTGATGGGCTGCTGACTGGAAGAGGATGATCGACGTCATCATATAATTCTCCTCTTTCGTCATCATCCTCTGGAATCACATCCGATCCCATGTCTTCAAAGCACATTTTTGTGAAGCAAATTTTAAAAGAATGCAAAAGAGACTTAGGATTGTGCTTCTTAAATGAACACAACTCTACAAACTAATACCCACATGATATACTTTTAAACTAAAACAGGTTTAAATGGTTTTGTAAGTATGTGAGTCTTAAAGCTACCAACTGTTTTCAAGGGAAGCTGCTTTAATAAAGCCAAGGGAATGGACAACAATAGACCTAGAGAGCATGTCAGCATTCTCTTGATCAATCTCAGAAATCAGTAAGGCCTTTAATATGAAAACCCAATCCAACCCAGTCCTAAATTAATATTTAAGGAACATGAAATCATGTCCAACTGTTTCTCTTACCTTGTAATATAAATTTCAGCTGCTGGACCCATTCCTCAGCATCTTTGGGAGAAGCTGCTGTAAACTAATGAAAAAATTCAAACAATAAGAACTGAAATTGTAACAGCAATATAAAAGGTATGTTGCATTCTTATTATTTCTTAAGAACATTAGTGATTCCTTTCATGTCTAGGGTACTCTTCTTGCAAGGATGCTTCTTATAATGTACAGTTAATTTTGACAAATTTGTGTAATTGAAGCAGAGGATGATGGATTTGAAACTCTGATCAGCAGCTGGCAGCTGCACAGGGAAAAACGCTGCTTCTCTTCATCAATGTCAAAGGCTGAACTGATGAACAGAATTTGCCCTTGACAATTAGAAGACATCCATGAATTTCTTTAGACTGCTGGGTACAGTTTTCTTAAAAATGTTCTTGTCAGATTCCAACACACTACCTGACAACTTAATTAACTGGCTTTCAACTGCAATCTCAGATATTTAAAACTTATTAAACATACATTCCATATTGATGCCTAGCTGATGGCTCTTGAATTGTAAGAGTTGATAATGTGTCTTTATCTTCATTTTCTCCCACACCCCTAAGCAATACAATATGCATTAGTACTCTAATACTTTTCCTTTGATGATTTTATTCTTTCTGCTATGAAATTCTTTTAGGAAATCATACAGTTCTATTAAAGTAGATGTAAAATGTTACATGTGACGTAACTGATAAATTACAGACTCATTTGGTCTTTTGCAAGGATGTATCACCTGAACCGATCAGAAATTTTTAAATGTATTTCCTCTTTATATGAATGCTCAATGTACAAAATAGTATTTCTATTACTGATATGTCAGGGAAAGCTTTTTTAATAAAACACTAATGTCTGTATAAATGAAATCAGAACATCTTATCAAGTTAATTTTAAGGCAACATAAAAATTCCAACCTGATAGACACGTTTATCAGGAGCACAGATTTCAAAACAGCAATCTTTCTTTCCATCCTTTCTGAGGGTGTTATTCATTCTGACATCATAGCCCTCTATTGCAAATTCACCTTTCTGTTGTTTGTCTATAGAAGATAAAAGTCAAGTTAGAGTTTCCTTCATCACAGTGAATATAAATGCCCGATTATCTCACTGAGGTTTTCTTTGTCAAGTCAGCTACTTTAGCAACTCTAAGCTGTGAAAGTGTTAGTGAACCCAAGGAAGAGGTCTGGGGACGGCGGTGGTGTTCACAAGGAGGCGAGGCGAGGAAATACACAGGAGAAAACCACTAGAACTTAAAGTTGTTAGAGACTTCAGGCAGCTAGTGGTAGAAGTGCCTTCTTAAAGCTTGCTGTGCCTTCTTATTTACTGTCTTGTCCGCTCTTAGCCCCACCACCAAGTTGGAGTGGTCCTTTGCAGAAACGTTTTCTGTTTTAATCTTAAAAGAAAGAAAAAGGCAACCAGCCGACTAGACGGCTGGAGGGAGTGACCAGGCAAGCATACCGATATAACCACAGAGGCTTCTCAGCCAATCAGTGACCAGGCAAGCATACCGACATTACTACAGAGGCTTCTCAGCCAGTCAGTGACAGAGCAATGGTCAAAGTGCGCCTGAACCTATTAGAGTGCAGTCAAAGGAAAGATGGCTTCAGTTTGGTTAAGTATTATTTTAAAGATAAACAAAATAGAACCAAAAGAAAAAGTTTAATCCAAAAGTAAGAACATCAGCTTTTTTTTATCAGGCTGTGCCATTCTGATAGAAAAAGCTACACAGCAATAGGTTTAATTTCCACATTAACACACAACACCAAAATCAGAGGTAGGGACAAGGTATCTGTTTTACTGGGCTCAGGGTAAGTACAGAAATGCTTTCATAATGCAAGGCCAACAATAAAATACATATCTTCTTTTCTTAAATACACTAATTTAGCACCTGAAGTAAGGTCATGGAGATATATGTTGCCCAAAATGTCAAATGGGAAAAAATATGAGTTAGATAGGCATGACCTAAGCCTGAACAATCTATTTAGTCATAATTTATATATCTGAGTGACCAAAAAATTCCAGTTAAAATTTTTGAATTTTATTTGGTTGAAAAATTACATACTTAACTATAAGTTTTACAAAACTATACTTTAAAAATTGCAGGTCAGGTGTGTGGCTATAAATCAGCAAGGGACCTAAGGCAAGAAGATGGTAAGTTTGAGGCCAGCTTAGACGGCAGTGGGATCTCCCACATCAAAACAAAGAAAGGAGAAAGAAGGAGTACCATGCTGTCCTAATGTGTTCCTTTAGATACCAGGGTGAGTCTCTGGTCATGTTTAAGATGCTTTTTGCTGAACTAAACTAAGTTAATGGACCTGAGGGTGTAGGTCAGTGGTAAAGTATCATCTACTATGCACAAGATATCCTTAGTACTGACAAAAACAAAAAGTTAGAGTCTCATGAATCTGGACTATATAATTATGCCTTTCTTAAGGCCGTTAGTATATTTATATACCAACTGAATTTCTAGGAGAAAAATCTATGCAAAGAACACTTTGTACATCTGATGTCCCCAGACATGGTCTGTGAAATACCTAACTGGAAAAATACTGAAGGAAGAGTGAAAAACAGTAAGTGGTTAAACACAGTTGATTCTTCTACCATTCTCAAAGAAAAACCTAAGTCTTCATTCATTCAACAAATTTATAGTGAACACTTTAAACATGCCTGGTAGTTAAGATAAAAGTTATTAATAGCACACTTTATCAGATCTTTCTCACTGAAATAAACATACATGCATTACAAATGTAGGTATTTCCCAAATACCAGCCAATGATCCACTTATACTTCAAGAGGAATTTAGCTCCCACTACAAAAAATGAAAGTAATATGAGTCAAAATACTTAAGAAGTCCAGTGAAATTTTGAAAGATTTTCCTTCAACTCTGCCAGAGAAACAGGACTTCAAAGGCCAGATCTGGATGAAACCTGGTCCCCACTCCAAAGCATTCAATCTCCACTCACCATGATTTGAAGCATGGGCTTTCTCCCACTAATCTGACTCAGAACTGTCATCATTGTAACAAAGTGATGCTGAAATGCACAAGGAGTGGGAATCCTGCTGGAGATGTAAAGTTTGTGCAGAGAAGAGCTGGGGTAGAGCAGGACGTACCACACGGGACCCAAGGCTAAAACAACCAACACTAGCAAAGCCACTTTACACAACCCTCCCCCAAACACGTTGGGGGCCATGTACATATCTTCTATTTACAGTCTAGGAGGAGAGTCAGAGAAGCCATGAATGCAATTTCCAGATTATACGGACACACCACTGTAGGACAAATGGGAGAGGAAAAGCAAAGAAACAACAAGATTATGGAGCCTGGGGAGACAGCTCAGCCCGTAAAGAACCAATCTTGCAAGCATAAGGACCTCAACTGATCCCAACAACATAAGAAAAAGTTAGGCATGGTTGCAATTGCTGTAATCCCAAGCACGATGGGGTAGAAGCAGGCTGATACATGGGTCTCAATGGCCAACTAGGTTATCCTAATCAGTGGGATACAGGCCAGTGAGAGACTACCTCACAAATAAGGTGGGGGAGGGAACTGAGGACTGGACTTAGTGAAAACCCTACTTGCTCTGTAAACATGAGGGCCTGTGCTTGAATTTCCAACACCAACACCTAATGCTACATGTTCTGAGCTAGACTATAAAGACATTTAGAGTACTATTTTATGTGGAAAATATTATCAGCTACATATATTTATTAAATAAAGGGCTCTAAATAGCTATGAGTATCAAAGGGCTTTCACAGTGCTGAATCTCTGCTCTTCCCTCCCCTGAAATGCCCACTTTACCCTTTGTTCTCTCTTAGTCCATCTGCACTGCTGTCATAACTGTGACTGACATGGGTATGACATGTTCATAATTTATGAACAACAGAAATTTACTTCTCAACGTTCTAGAAGATTAGAAATCCAAGACTGAGGTGCCAGCAGGTTGACTATCTGGCAGGGTCTTCCCTGGCTGCAAGTGACCATTCTGCTGCAGCATCCTCTGGAGGGAGAAACCCTGTGGATTTGTAAGGCAGAAGTATGAGAGACGGCTTCAGAGCTCTCTTGAACATTTTCATTGTGTCATTCATGAGGGGAAAGCCCTCATGGTCCAATCACTTCTAAATGCCCTACACCCTAACATTACCTTCTTGGAAGTAGCTTCAAATTACAAATTTTGGATAGACACACAATTAAAATTATGGCTTTTATCCAGTAAACTTCTATTCATTCTTTATGGCCCAGTAAGATGTTGTTATCACAAGGAAGTTTTCCCAAAGGCCCCTAGCAGTTAGTTCTCACTTCTTGGTGATCCAAAGGTATTTAATTTAAATTACTTATTACACCTCATTGAATTTATGTCTGTCTGCCTAGCCCCTGCCTCCAATTTCACAGCTTCTTACCTTCTCACCGATATTCACACAGCTCGAGCAGTGAGCACCTCTAAGGATCTTTGGATTCTCACTGTTTATTATACCAAGTTATCTAGCAAATGTTTACCAAATAAAAGGTGAATAAGTGAGTAAGTGAATGAATGAATGCCTTAATGAGAATCTGAATATCTAGGATGTAGGGCAGTTGATGAATGAGGCTCATGACAATCACAGAAAAAGAAAGGAGATGGGGGATGGATGGTTATTTCACAAAGTGATAAAACTTGCACTATATATATTTGTTACTTAAGGACTTGAATGGCTATGAATAATAAATACAGAGATATTTATGGGTATAGATGTAAGTGCATTACATACCCTGGAGGATGGCCATACTCTTTCTAAGCTATTACTACTCTGATAGGTCAATACGGTTTTGGCACACACAATAAGGTAGAAAATGTGAGCTATGTATGTGCCAAGCAGAAACGAAGTATGGCTTAACCCAGTGAGTGGTATCAACTCTGCCTCGTGCCTCTACAAACCATTTATCTCAATCCTACTTGCTTAGAGGCTTACCGCTTTCATATATCTAGGTAGCTCTTTGCAAAGTTTAAGTAATGGTTCGCACACACAATAAAGCCATACAACTCAGCTACTTGATTACACAAAAGAAAATTAAAATGCTATTTGATAATGTTTTCCCAGAAAAAAAGATAAAGTGGCAGGAAACCGGGATCATGCCAAACAAGCAATTAAGAAATGTATAAAGGCAGAATTATTTCAGAGTCCCTAAAGAGGAGAGACAGGGATTCTGGAAGAAGAGAACTGCTACAAACAGACCTGGGACACCTGGGAAGACACGGCACCCAGGGTGCACTACACAGGCCTGGTCTTCAAGCACCAACAACGTAAGTCACATGGCTGAGGGAACCAAATGGATCACAAAGCACTTAAGATGCAAAATGCTAATAATGACAGCACTAAAGGCCTAGCAATGAGAGTAAGGGTGGAAATTTACTATCTCACAGATTCTAGCCAGAATTTCTTTCTGTAACAGTGGCCTTTGGAGAAAAATATAAATACAAACACTCCTTTGGGTTTTAGGAAGATTTGCTGGCTTTGAACTAACACTGACAATAGTTCATTTAAGCATTAATCACCGATCCTCAGGTCATAGAAAGGAGAAGCCTAGCTGAACCAAAGCTACAAGTATTTGAAACTTCTTTCTCTGAGGCTGATGGAAGCTGGATTTTTGGTTTTTTTTTTTTTGAGAAATGGTAAGATTTTTATCTAACTTCATAACAGTACAGAAAACTACATTTCTACAGTGGTGTCCACGTTACAATCTGTGATGATCATAACTGAACTGGACTTGAGTTTTGTGATTTCATCAGCTGCCTGCTCACAAGGAGGAAGTCTAGGTGTTGCAAACTGTGACTTCTGAGAACATGCTGATGACAGGATCCAAACAGGTCACTAAATTCTAAAGTCGTTAATCCAAACAGGTGAGACCGACTTCTGGTAGCATGTAAAACTTCAAATTTATCTGAAACACAGTAATTTCATCTGCATATTGTTCTAATAAACATTACCTATCTTTCCTTCTTATTTTCTCTAAGGACAGAGTACTTATTTTAGAAATTTTTCACTGTTGTTTTTTGTGTAAAATACATACCAACTTGTGTATATATATGTATATATGTATGTATATATATGTGTGTATACTATTCATAAAAAATCATTAAAACTTGGAATATATATGCATGTATATTTTAAAATTCATTATTTTGCAGCTTCACTTATTCAATAAGAAAGCTAAAATTATGTGAACTATTGCTAAAACTGTGAATTAATAAATGAAGTTTATTAACTAATAAATGACATTTATTAACTAAAGAAGTATGAAATTGCAGAGTATGAAAGTTAGCACAGGGTCTACAGTGGTCACAAGCCTGAACTGTAAACAATTTCCAGGCCTGCCTTCTACCACTCTGAGAATGGACATCGTACAAAATTAGCCTCTCAGTCCTTTGTTTTCCTAACATTAAAATAAATGGGAAAACTGTACAAGGCTGGGCCTATGGATACACTCCAACAGATGGAGGGGCCCACAGGGCCCTATTTCCTGAGGATTCATATGCAGTTAATGGATGATGGAGAGAGGGGGACTTTTCTCAGTGGTGTAGCCACTGATAGGGTGCTCTTGCTGCTGCAACCCTAATGAAACTTACTAGGGAGGGAGGGAGGGAGGGAGGGAAGGAGGGAGGGAGGGAGGGAGGGAGGGAGGGAGGGAGGGAGGGAGGGAGGGAGGGAAGGAGGTTGGGAGGAAGGAAGGAAGGAAGGAAGGAAAGAAAGGAGTGATAGTAAGAGTGGAGCAGTTAGGAAGGGAAGGGATTAGCCGTAGAGGGTACAGGGAGTAAATGCAAATGTGATCAAAATGCATCATGTCCATTTACATGAATGAAAATGTCATGGTGAAACCTGCTATGTGCAGGAAATGGAGGAAGCCCTGAATCACAGTGAACTGCTGACATGGGCACAGCCATGCCAAGGACCAAGACCTCAGACCCATGGAAAATTGGCAAAACTGCTACCCAAGCCACATAGACTGTGGCAATTATATACAATTGATATATGTTAATAAAAACATCATAAGTAAACAAATAGGCTAATAACGGGCCTACTTCAGAGAAATGCTATGTAAGTTATGCTAGTTAGCTTGCTTATACAGATAAAATGCTTAGAGGGTCTGGAATATAGCACACTCAATATGTCTGCTTTTGTTGTTGGCATCCTTAAAGTCAGGTTAGCAAGTAATGTATCCATTACATTTTATGTGAAAACTTTTACTATTTTTTCCTGTCTTCAAAAATTTTTATCTCATTTCATCATGGTTCCTCATTTTTCTCAAGTTCTACAACTGCAGCCCAGATGACAAATACTTATTAAGGTGAAAATCCATAGGAGTGAAAATTATTTTACTTTCTTTCATAATTCATAAAAATACAAGTGTGCTAAGTTTGAGGATAGTCTGAAATTCACAACATCTGTCAAATAATGAAAGACAATTATAATGAATCTTAAACTATAATTCTGAAAACCTCTCAGTCCTTCCTCCACTTTGTCCTTGTTCACTCTGCAGGAAACGGTGCAAATGGTGCAAAGGAAGGGTGTGAATAACCCCATACACCTTCATCACCCCCGTCATAATACAACAGTGCAAAGGAAGGGTGTGAGTAACCCCATACACCTTCATCACTCCCGTCATAATATGACAGTGCAAAGGAAGGGTGTGAGTAACCCCATACACCTTCATCACTCCCGTCATAATACAACAGTGCAAAGGAAGGGTGTGAGTAACCCCAATATTACCTTTATCACTCCCGTCATAATACAACAGTGCAAAGGAAGGGTGTGAGTAGCCCCAATATTACCTTTATCACTCCCGTAATAATAGAAGACGGTTTTGCTGAGAGCGCACCACCGTTTCTGCCATTCAAACCCCAGGAAGCTGTGATCTGCAAAAAGCAGGACAATGAGCAGGTTACATACTACACACGGCTTGCATACTGCCATTCCCTTACCACACCAGGCCAAGTTAGCTAATGCGATTTCCCAGTTTCCTTTTCCTCTGACATTAGTCTGCATTCTCCGTCCCAAGCACCACCCCAGATTTCATATTTTGGAGACCACATGAAGTCACAGTTAGCAAGGCCAAAGGAGAAGGAGACTCAAGTGAGTAACAGATAACAGCAGGTGAGATGGCAGGCTGTTCTGAACCACAGCAGGCCAGTGTGTGCAGGGGTTCACATGGGCCAATGGTGAGAAACTACAACCTTGACAGCACCGTCATGGCCTGAAGCTTGCCCAGAAGATGTAGGACACGGCCCTTGAATCACTTACAAACACCCCGGGTAACACTGATGCTTTGTCAGTAAAAACTATGTTAAAACTCAAAGTGGCATTTCATGTTTGGATAAGGTCACCCACATTTTCTCACATCCTTTAAAAGCCTAAAAACACTGCTTCTGTGAGTATGCCACAAATATATTTTATCTTAGGATGGGAAACTCCGCTTTTGTGTTTTCACTGGCTCACCTTTTCTGCGTTTTTCCAGGTAGCCAGCCTTTAGGACAAAAGGAAGGTCCTGGGCTGCAATTGGAGGAAACTGGTTCCCTGTAGGAAGTAGAGAAAGAAAAATCAGTGGGTAATTCACTTTGGAAAAGCCTGCTGACCTCATCCCATTACATTTAGTGCATTAATTATTGCAATTACTCAAATCAGATCTGGCAACTTTACTTCAAATCCAGCCCATAGACTCCCTTCTCTCCTCTTGTAAATCTTGAGTATTAAAAAAAAAAAAGTACCATGTTCCTAAATACAAATGCAGTTGAGTTATCTCAAAAGGGTGACACTTTTGATCTACAGTCAATAAACAGAGAACTATTACAAATAAACACAACAAATCCCAGCTAGAGATGTTAGGAAGTTCAAATGAACCACAGATACATCTTAACATTTCCACTGCATTAGCTCGTTAAGAATTTAAATGCAAATCAACTCTGACCTGTATATTCTGACTCCCACCAAGTGAAACAAAGTGATTTTTCCCAAAAGTCAAAGACAGTATTTGTTCCTGAGTCCACATCAAATTCTCTCTCCCCCTACCTGACTTCACAGAGCACCCCTATGTCAAGAGCACGCGAGTCTGCTCTATGATTTAGATTTTCATAAGGCATTTAAGAATCTAAGACTAGATCATCTAAAACTAGCAAAAACAAACAGGGTATTTCTATGTAAAACCTTAAAGATTAAGCTGTAAATTAAAGTCAGTTACAAACTTATGGTAATATGTGACAGGTCATTTAATAACTTCAGAGGTATTCTTGGAAAAATTCCCAGCTCCTTACAAGAGTGATGACATACAGACAGACAGACAGACAGATGATAGACATAACAGATAGACAGGTAGATAAATAAATAAATCATTTTTTAAAAATCATATAGAATTTGTGTCTAAGGGAACAACAAGTTGGGCCAACCATTAAACTAGTCATGGTATTGTAGAATAACTGGGTCTCGCTGAATAATAGTACCACAATCTTTATACTTCCACTGGGCAAATATCTTAACACCAAACAAATGTTCTCTGTAGCCATTGAGATGGTTTAGCAGGTAAAGGTGTTTTCGACCAAGCCTGATGACCTGAGTTTGATTCCCAGGAGACACAAAGTGGAAGGAAAGAACCAACTCTTGAGGGTTGTTCTCTAACCCCCACAGAAGGGTATGTGTGGACACATGTACACACATAAGGGTATGTGTGGACACATGTACGCACAAAAATAAATGTAATAAAATTTAAATGTCCTCCAAATTTCAAGAGCAAAGCATGTTATTCTGAAGTGAGATAATCTTCAATTTTTAAAAATTTTATGTGTACGAGTCTTTTGCCTTCATGTATGTTTATGCACTGTATGTGCTCAACAATGCTGAAGGACAGAAGATAGTGTGGGATCCCCTGGAACTGGAGTTACAAATGATATAAGCCACCACATGGGTCCTGGAAACCAAAGCTTGAGTCTTTGCAAGACAGCAGGTGCAGTTAACTGCTGAGCCATCTCTCCAATCCTTGAGGTATTAATACTTTACTGAACAGAAACAGGTAGAGAGTAGATGGAAGAACGGAGGGGAGAAGAAAAAGTAAGGAAAGAAACAAATTTGTTAGGGTGAATATGCCACTTAACCTGGGTACTATGGTAAAATTGCTGATTAAACTGATAAATCACAATGAAATATAATGTCATAAGCTATATTTACCCTAATTTCTCATTATCTCATGTTTCTTGAATACAATCTTTTCTTCCCAGGGAAGGAAAAAACAAGTTCTTAACTGAAATTCCACTTTTGTAAACCATTATAGCTATTTGACCAATATCTAAGATTTAACAGCCATGTACACTTTTTATAAACAAAAGTACATCAGTAATAACCCTTTTAAATATATATTTAAGTCCTCAGAAGAATTTTATGATTTGTGTAACAGGATAAGCAGTTAATACTTTCTGACAGAAATTTTTTTGGTTTTGCTTTTAAAGATTATTTATTTATTTATTTATTTATTTATTTATTTATTTATTATAAGTACAGTGTTGTGCCTGCATGTTGCCTGCAGGCCAGAGGAGGGTACCAGATAAGCAGTTAATACTTTCTGACTGAAATTTTTTTGGTTTTGCTTTTAAAGATTATTTATTTATTTATTTATTTATTTATTTATTTATTTATTTATTATAAGTACAGTGTTGTGCCTGCATGTTGCCTGCAGGCCAAAGGAGGCTACCAGATCTCATTACAGATGATTGTGAGCCACCATGTGATTGCTGGGAATTGAACTCAGGACCTTTGGAAGAACAGGCAGTGCTCTTAACCACTAAGCCATCTCTCCAGCCCTCTGATAAAAATTTGTTATAATACATAAAAACAGTAATTTCCCTTTTAAAACCTGGAATCCTCACATTGTTTAGGCCAACCACAATAGTCAGGAGTGTGTCGACAGTTAAGATTCAGACCAGACCAAAGGACAGATGCTCTCCAGATGCAGAACAACAGCCACCAGGTCAAAGAAGCAATGGCTATACATCTCCTCAACAGAGGGCCACTGGACACCCCCTACACCAGAACACCATCTCACTGGACAACCTGATTCAGCCACTGCATGGGCTAGACATTACTGTTATTTTCAAACTAGTTAAAAACAATTTCCTTTTCTTAAGGTAAAGGCAATAAAAGAAGAAATCACATCCTAACTAAGAACACAGAGAAAAAATTAACTTGTATTCTAGGCTACTCTACTTATATATAGAAAATTGCAACAGGTGATTGGTTAAAAAGCCACGAGCTTGATATTCTGAAGAAACTGGACCATATTTTTAAAATGATTATTTATTTATTTATTTATTATGGCAATCCTACTTTTCTAAAGCAAATCAACATATTAGACACTGGAACTCACACCCTGTTGCTGAACATAGCAACATACCTCAGTCAGCCCAGCATAAAAACGAACCAACCCCAGCAAGGTAACTAAGCAAGGAGTGGGTCGTCCTCCAAATCCAGCTTGCAATCTTGATGTGAAGCCCAGAGGACAGGCAGGCAGCAGTGCATCAGCAGCATCCAGGCAGAGAACTGGCTTGGGCTCCTTTATACTACTTCTCCTGGGATGTGAAATTTGAAAACTTGCACAGCCAGTGCACGGCTGACGGAATGAGGCTGACCCAAACAGACTGCAGAGCAAACAGGTCACTCTGCATGCTCCAGCACCATCAACAGGATCAAAGTCCATCCTATCGCGGATCACAGCAACTTTTCAAAAGCTTCAAGTATGAACTAAAAATAACACAAGTTGTGACTTCTTAGTTCTACATTAGCTTCTCATCCAGTTTCTGCTCTTGTACTAGCAGGTGTCAGGGGATCAGAGTGTCTCAAAGACCTTTTCACAACAGACATCTCAGATTCATTTCCTTCTTGTATTTTTATGAGAAGGTTGGTAGTTAATTTAAATATTAGACTCGTGAAGAACCTGAAACCCCTTTTACTATTTTACCATTAACAAGTCATTATGATATTATGGGCCTCATTGTTCACATTTTTATAGTTGTTCAATCTTGACTTCATGCAATTCTCACTCAGTTTCTGAGCCTTGCCTTGCTGACTACAGTTTTCATTTTATTGCTTGGCATTCATATAGTCTTCGACATGAACACTAAACCTTTCAGCTAGCATAATCTTCCTACTGCTTTCATACCATTAAAAATTCCTGTTTATATTGGAAAAGACAGGTAAGAGATTTTTGCTCATGTGATCTTTCACTCTGAGTCAAATCTTGGGCTAGTCAAATACTCTGTCACCACATGATGGGACTATGTACCTGAAATGCAAAAAGTTGAGGATAAACTCCTCATCAGTCAACCCTCTCCCTACTGAACACTAATTAAGTACCTATGGGTTAATCCAAACCTTTTATCAAAATAATATTTTATTAATGTTTTGAGAATTTCATACAATATATGTGATCATATTCACCACCCTCCTATCTCCTTCCAGGCCCCACACACCTCCTTTTTTGTTTAGATTTTTTTAACTACCAATTTGTGCTGCCCACATACTCCTGGGTGTGGGGCCTGCCCCGGAGCAAGGCTGACCAACCAGGAGTCGTGCCCTTAAAGAAAACTGACAGCAGTTCAACTGTCAAGAGCTCCTCAGCTAAGAGTGGGATTTTGTGTCTACTCCCTCCACCCAATCCTCCATAATAGAATTTTGTCTGGTTTGAGCTCATGCAGGTCTTGGCATACTGTTACAACCACTGTTGACTTCATACATGCAACTGTTGTATCATGTCTAGAAACACCATTGTAGTAAAAAGAAAAGAAAATAAGAGGTCAACCTCTATGTTGAATATAGAGGAAAAATTCTCTAAAAACTTAAACCTAATTCAAGAGCACATTACAAAGATTATCCACCATGATTGAGTTAGCTTTATCCCAGCAATGCAGGGACAGTTCAATACATGTAAATCAATGAATGTAATCCACCACATAGATTCAGGGACCGAAACCACATGATCATCTTATTAGATTCAGAAAAGGCTTCTGACAAAATCTAACATCTCTTCATGATAAAAGTCCCAGAGAATCTAGGGAACCAAGGGACATATCCCAGCATAATGACAATAAACAGTAACAACCCACACCCAGCATCTTGCTAAACAGAGAAAAACCCTAAAGAATTTTCAGGAATAAAAAGATAGTCCCCTATTTCCTCTCCTGTTCAATACAGTGCTTGAAGTCCTAGTTAGAGCAATAAGAATAGCAGAGCAAGATAAATGGTGTACAAATACGAAAGGAAGAAGTCAAAATATCCTAATTAAAGAAGACATGGCCCTATACATAAAATACTCCACCAGATAAACATACTCAGCAAAGTAGCTGTATACAAAATTACACAAAAATCAGTAGCCTTCCTATATACCAACAGCAAGCATACTGAGAAAAAAGTCAGGGAAACAATATCATCCCGGATAGCAAAAGTAAAACAAACAAACAAAAACTAAAACAAAACAACAAAGGCTTGGAATAAATCTAAAGACGTGAACGACTTGTAAAAATAAAATCTTATCCACA